TCGGGACCGAATTGGCCCATGGATCGGTCCGTTGTCTGAGTACTATTGTGCAATTTTCCTCATTGATTGGGTATCTACTGATGAGGGACCTATTTTCATTTAGTCATAGGGACTGCCACAGCTTTTCTCTTACAAGCCTGCCGGATGTTGTACTTGTTGTCTCCCCAAAATCGTTGTTTTGTACTATGCAGGGTACTCAGTGTTTGCAGTCAGTGAAGCTATTTTTTGTGAAATCTTGCTGGTGCAGAAGCGCAATGATGACTTTATTCGGATTTCGGGGAGACGGTCTTTTCGCACGGGCGGTCTCCAGCGTCTCCCTGATTTTGACTTGTCTTAACATGTAATGCACGCCGCAAATCTTTCCTCCCCGTGTTTTGCTTAGGCAAAAGCCGCCGCAGGGTGTGTCGCGCGCGGCGGTGGTCCTGTGTGGAAAGCATTACGGTCGTGCGAAACGTCACACACCCCGGATTTCGCTTAAAAAATACAAGAAGTTACATGGTATTCATTCCGTATGCACCTGATAATTGTTGAATCGCTGGTCAAATTAAAAGACGAGGGCATATCAATTTCTTCACGCACTAGAAGTAATACAGGAAAGCTCATAGAGTGCGTGGGTGCATTAATCATCTGCGCCAGTTTGTAAAAAAAAAACCGGTACAAGACCGGTCAATAAATATTGCCCAATTTTATGGCTTACAGTTGTTGGCAGAGTAATTCTTCTTATTCATTATGATTAGTCTTAGAGAGCAAGGTTAACTCTATGTTATATTCAAGTTTGGAATCGCTAAAGTCACCACTGTACAGAAAATAGGAGCACTTAATATTTTTATGGAGACCATCTGCGCAGGATGAGGTGTAATAAGGCTGTCTGAGGCTTGATTTTCTTTGCACATCGTTTCTTCTTTCTTTTGCTGCTATTTTATTTTTCATCTCTCAATATTCCTCCTTCTAGATCCTCGCTTTTGTCCATGCGCTTCACTATCTTTTTCGTTTGACGGTTCTGTGGCAAGCGACTCCGGCCTGTCCCATGTTGGTGTTTACTCTGGGCTGGCTGTGGTCGAGGGAATGCGAAGAATGAATGTTTTGTTGGATTGTGGTTTATGTTAGATCAGATTCTACCATTTCATTTCATTGGTTCACATCATTGCCATTCTCATGCCATTGTAGTTTTTTTAACACATTTATATAGACGATTCGCATGCTACAGCGGGCGTGGCTCTGCAGACATTTAAACACGTTAAAAAACTTGTTGAACCTCCATTATAAACCATTAATTTTTGTACTCTTTAGCTATCGAAAACTGCCACGCGTATACGTTGGCAAACGTCGGCAAAGCTCCGCTCGCTATACTATGGGGAATCGACAATACCTCAAGGACCGGGCATACTTCAAGCGATTTCAATCGCGACGCGATTTGGCAATATTCCATGTGTCCATAACTCATTGTAAGCACATTAAAAATGTACAGAAGATAGAGCATTTCATCAGTTTACGTAAGTTATACACACTATGCATGTGCAGTTTGCTAATGTTGGATCCGAAGACTTCTGGCGAATTGCCAAATCGCGTCGCGACTGAAATCGCGTGAAGTATGCCCGGCCCTTCATGCGTTAGTTTGGGTCTGGTTCCATCTCATCACTTCTATTAATGCTTGGGTTAGCTTGTTTGGGCTTAAACTTTTGCATTGTGCAATCTCTTCTCTCGGAGTTCTGTTCTCTCCCCAGAGAGAGTTTGGTTGGGCGGGTTTTGCCAATATTACTACCAATAGACTGCTTCCAACATATACAGTTGCTTATGTTTGAATAAGAGCATTTTTGCTGAGGACAGAGGGCTTGAGACAGACTCCATCGAACCTCTATACCTGTGATGACTTCATATTCGTCTAAACAAGCTCATTCCCTTTCTATCTCCAGAAAAGATTTTGCGGGCTGGACTTGAGCTAATTCAGTAGGGTGTTTGCCTGTTTTTTTTTTGTTGCTAGTTGTTTAGTGTGTTGCTTCGTTTCTGTGTAAATGGGCACATTTGCTTGGTAGTGGCCTGATCTGTAATTTCCAGTGAACCATTGGACCCACTACTCAGATAATCGCCGGGGGCAGGCGGCCATGCGATTTATGGGCGGGCGGGCACCGGAAAAATAGTTCGCTGATTTCTTGCGGTCCGCCTGCAGATATTTGGAAGAATTTTAGCGAAATTTTAGACAAATGCTTAAAGAACAATCGCGGTTTCCTTAAAGATTAGCTGCGGCGCACTGGCCGCATTCTCGCGGACTTTCCGCGAGAATATGCAAAATTTTCGAAAGCCGCACGGTCCTTTATAGAAGACCCTGCAGCCCCCAGGTACTTTCCGCTGAAAGAAGGTACCTCAAACGTTAGTAATTAAACAACGGTGACACCTCTGCCACAGGAGTCTTACCTGTGCTTGACGTAAGCCCGAAACTGCGTAAAAAGAGTCCGAGCGCCTGCTGAATGTTTGTCCAGCGTTTGTTGAAAGAGATTATTTGACGAGCGCCTGCAGAATATTCGGTCAGCGTTTGCTGAAAGAGATTATTTGACGAGCGCTTACAGAAAAGTCTGTGTTGCTGCCCGCTGGCAGAACATCAAACATTGAAGGAAGTACCGCTCGCTGTAGGTTTGGCCACGCCCCAAAATTCTGCTGACCGCTTGCAGAAAAGCGCGAGTTTGCGGACCGCTTGCACCCGTCGATTATCTGAGTAGGTGAGTGAAAATGTCGTGCCTTCTTAGCAGCTGAAAATTTCTCTCAACATTTCGTGTCGAGCCTAGCGTTTATTGAAAAATACAACGAAGTGATTCTTCTAGTATACTTATGCATGTCGTTTCAGGCTTCGGACAGAGTTCACGCGATTTGGTCGTCGCGATTTGTCGCGTCTCGATGCAAGGCGCTCCTCGAAGTACAAAGACCGAAGCATCGGTTACCGCGCTATCCGGCGACGATTGCGGTAGCCGAGGCGCGTGTTGCCGCGATCGTCTCCGGACCTCTGCTTAATTGGCTCGTTGCCAGCCAGGCGGCTATATAAAGCGGCGGCGCCTTAGTTGGGGTTGAGCCAGAGTGCGCCGCGTACGGGCGTACGTGACTTACGCAGCGTACGCTCGGTATATTTCATCATAGGAGCAAACGCGGCGTACGCTGCGTATATACGCCGCGTACGCCGCGAGGTCTGGCTCAACCCTTGGGTGCCTCGCCCGTCTTCGTTTTTATTGATTGATTTCATTTCTTGTTCGAATTACCTTTCAGCCGCTTTGCTCCTGTCCTTTTTTGGAAGAGCGGTCTAGCCGGAAATTCGTTAGATTGGAAAATGGATTATTTTGATAGCGTTCAGACGCGCCGTAGTACTAATTGGAATTGGTGGAATTCTAACATCTACAGGAGCTGGAGAGTATGTGCCGTCGTCTAAGGGCCTTGGCGTTGCGCGGTGGATTTGTTGCGCGAAACCTCGGGAGCCTCATGTATTTTTTTGAGAATGCTTGCAGACGCGCATCGGCAGCATGGGACGGGCCCTCGTCCCGTGTTTTTTTAGTAGTAGTGTAGTAATTTGTTTTTAGTTTAGCATTTTTGTCTACTTTAATTGTAGTGTAGTGTCATAAGGATAAATCACTTAAATTATCTCATGTTACTTTGGTCGCGCGTTAGGCGCGCAGTAGGGTAGGTACGTCGCTTAGTTTCGGGGGAGCATCAGGCCTCGGGCTACATCTAGGTGCAAGAGCCCACCGAGTCGCCACACGATTCAATCGCTACAAGACAACTCACGAGTTCATTGCATGCCGATCAGCCTGCATTTCGTTGTGATACTTTTTCAGCTCGAATTTTTTGAATGTGAAATGAAAATGAGTGAAAATCGCGACGATCAAATCGCGTGAACTCTGTCCGAGGCCTCAAATGAACATTTAATTACTAATTATCAGGGTGACGCCTTTGTTGTAGGAGAAAGGCTTAGAATGTATGACTTGAGCACTCGTAAATTCGCCATAAGGTGAGACAGCCGAATGATGGCTAAAGAAGTGACATTGCCGTTTGTGCTCCACAAAAGTTTGGTTTTCGGGTTCTGAAAATCCTGTCAATATAGCAGGCGTAGAGGAAGGTTAGTTAGGCTTTTAAGTTTAAAACAAAACAAGGGCTTCTCTTATCGTTAGTGGCAATACGCGCTATCGACCGTCCTTCTCAAATATAGTTAGCAATAATGTAGGTTGCAGCAGTTTAAAGGCACCGTCCACTTTAAGTTGAGGGTGTTGAGCTTTTGTCAGCATATGATAGTAGGTCTCCCCTATCAATCCAATGCCCAGGTCGCGGCGCAAAATGCTGCTTCGGAAGCGAAAAAATCGCTTCGGAACAGCGAAGATGCACGAGGACCCCCATTCATGCCCGCCCTCCCCCATCCATGCCCCCTCCCCCCCCCCCCCATTTGTGCGGGCCCATCCAATCACCGTTCCAGAAAGCCTGCCTGTAGGTTTTCCGTAACGGGGATTGTCGAGTTTTCGTGCATTCTCAACTTCATATTCGGAATCAGGGACATGAGAAGGCCCTGAAACGACAAAAACGTGGGAGTCCTGGGTGGACGGTGCCTTTAAAGCCTTGCGATTTTAAGGTGAGTACAAAGGCCGCAATAAGGTCGTGCATGAAGGCCCTACGCTTTTACTAATATTGCTTGATCTAGAAACTGCTAACGTTATCGCTATTATGTGACAGTACGACATTGTCACCGTTACGCAGAAAGTTAGAATCTTTGCTGTAACCGTTTAACATGACGTCACCAAAAAAGTCCTTTATTGACATTGGACAGATCAAACCCGAAATGTTGGAGCAATCATAACAATAACAAAACAGCAATGCCTTTGACTGCTGTATCGGTAGATTCACTGGAAGAAAAAATAGTGATATGTTTTTTTTCAAAATCAACCATCTGACAACATCTTCTCAATAGAGTACAAGGTAGTGGAGTTAGAAATCTCTAGGTCAGAAAATCTTGAGGGCCGTTTTTACAAGGCTTATAAGTTCTTGTCACAGTTTGGATAGCATTTGCCAACGTCCGGCATAGCGATATACATAAGACGTTTTGCTGCATTTGGGAATGTATCGCCAGCGTACTTCTCGTAAGAAGCGAGCTCGTTTCTGTTAAAATAAATAATTCTCGCATGTTGCTCTTTGGATGCTACTTACTTGATTACAGTGGCATTGACATGCTTTGTGGATATCCAGTTCCAGCCTTCTGTGCCCTTTCCACATTTTGAGGGATCAAGATTCTTCCTGAAGGGACTCTCCCATCCTTCATCACCTACGGTCTGAAGTTTCCATCCGTGTAACATGAAATCATAGTCGCACCACCTGGAAATTGCAGTAGGCGTGAAGAATTTCCTCAAGGATTACTTACTTATCGGTCGTGTAGAATCCGTCGCGTACCCAACCATGTGCCCGCCTATAGATTCTGAGCTTTCCTGGCCATAATCTCGTCGCACCAAGTGCTTGCTTTACGCACGACACATATGCCATGTAGGTGTCGTAGTCTGTGGCATTGCGCCAAATTTTGTCGCAATTTTCAGCTTCTTGCTTCGCTTCTGGGAGGACAGTTGTCAAGATTTGTATCTATAATTGCGGCATATTGTAATCGTTTAGTTGAGAAGTGAATGACGTTCTATTTGGCTGTTATTCAATACCAGTGCTTCACCTCTGCTTCGCAGAGGTTCGCACTGGCATCGTGAACCGTGGTAAACTCACTTTCTGAGAGCTCTCGAATCATAGTTCGGTTTATTGCAACGTGAGCCGTAGTTAAAAATGAACCATACTCGCTATCTTAACCTCACATGATGTTTAGTATCGTAAATCATTCCTTACTGTAATTTCGTAACGGACAAACTCCACACAACTCCAGATTAAGCCGCTTATTATAAGTCATGATCATCTCGGAATGTCGCATGCATTCTAAGTGTACGTACTGCTCAATATTTTATGCGAGACGTTCAAGAAAACCCTACAAAAACCCCTTCTGCTCACGCACATATATTTTACGTCAGACATTCATACATGCAGCTGCCGTACTTTTATACTCGCCATCAAACATCCATGTATGAGTTGCCGTATTTTTTAGTTGCCTAAAAATAAGGCAGTAGTCACTACCTTTTTAAGGCAGTAATATTTTGTTCCAAGCTCTTCGATGGTCGCTGGAATGAATAATCATTACAATTTCAAATCCATGACTTTTGCCCCCGATTGCAGCTTTTTATAATTACTCTCTCAGAATTATATAAGCTTGATAACAGTCGGATAGGGTAAACAAAGTGCCAGCTTGCATCTTGTTGGCACAGCTGGCTTTTGAATATCGCTGACATTATTTTTCAACGCCAAAATTTTTAATTTTGGCACTCCATGTCTCACACAACAACAAACGACGAGTATCTAAGGTGACATTGGATGCAGCTTTTTTGAAAATTTTTGATAAGTGTTTCCTTTTCCGACTTGTGAAGTTTGCGAGATAAAAATCATCATAATTCTTCTACAGAAACGCATTCCTGGCCGTACCCAAAGAACTCGAAATTCAATATTTCGAAGCGTTTTCGAATACTCACTTGCTTTGTAGAATCAGCGTTTGATATAATCTATTCTTGGAAATTAGTTTTGAAGCGTTTTGTATTTTTACAACTTCGCCAAAGTGAAGACTTTTGGAAAAATCATTTGTAAAAATCTAGAAAGAGAGCTTGACTCGGCGAAAGACTGTTATCGCACTTCGTTCACTCAACTCAAATGTTATCAAAGCTCTTCTAAAATTTGGAAAAAATTTGAAAGCGGCAAACACTCAGTTGTCTTGTAGAATTAGCGTTTAATTATAATCCATTTTTCCGAAATTCCGAATTTTGAACTCTTTCAAATGTTATCGAAGCTCTTCCAAAAATTTGAAATGATTTTTTTTTGAAAATAGGCCAAAATTAGGGTAAGTTAAGACCAGGATTGAGGATTCCGACGATTATTTGAATGATCATTATGGTACTCGGAATAAAGACATCACTTCTGAAAAGAGGAAATTCTGCAACGAATTTCGTAGCTTTCTTTACCCGCCTTTTCAACTTTTTCATGCTACATTTAGCCCATCATTATATTTTCCAAACGCTTATCTTGTACCATGTAAATTCACGTTGCAGTCTTGAAGGCTTGTATTGGGGTGAGCAGAAAGTAACGAGGCACTCGGAAGATGATTGTAGATTCCTCAAGGATAAGAGCTGTTTAAATACATCAATGTTGATGGATGTGTCAGAACATATTTTTCTTGTTCAGCTAATATCTACTCGAGGTGGGTTCTACATTGTCAATAGCTTTTAATTGCTAAAATGCGCAGCTAATCATACCTACAGACCAGCTTGCTTACCCGGCTCCGCTCGGCCCTGTCAAAACACTGTAATAAAGGTCCCATCCCTACCTCTGTACAGCCTTTCCCTGTGCCCACTTCTACACTTCATTTCCCGTTCCCTGTATTGTTTTCGAAATCAGCATACCCACTTACCCCCCTGTGCCAACTCCCAGCCCTTCAGCTCAAATTTTGAAAAAGTCGATAAAATCGATGAAAGTAATAGGTAACACCAAAAACTAACATTGTATTCGTAATCAGCATGCTCGATTACTCCCCTGCGGCAAAACCCAGCCACGTAGCTCAAACTTTGAAAAAATCGATAAAATCGATAAAAATAGCAGATAATTCTAACTAATATTGTATTCGTAACTGGCATGCTCGACTACCCCCCTGTGCCAACTCCCAGCCCTGTAGCACAAACTTTGCAAAAAAATCGATAAAATCGATAAAAGTAATGTACGATTTTGAAAACTAATATTGTATTCGTAATCAGCATGCTCGATTACCCTCCCCCTGTGCCAACTCCCAGCCCTGTAGCTCAAACTTTACAAAAAATCGATAAAAATCGATAAAATCGATATCGTTCAATGATGAAAAGTAGCCTATGACACACTCCCCGCCCTGAAGTGTATGTGTGCCAAGTTTGGTCCAAATCGGTTTAGAAATAAAAATTTCTATTCCACACATACGTACAGACATACAGAAGACAGACATTCAGCATTATATATAAGAATTATGAACTTTTAGCAGTATCTGCGCAGTGAAACACGTGAGAGTAGCCAGAGTACCACTGCTGCAACGTGTGGGGGAACAATCACCAAATCTGCGATGGCCCGGTGACAGAACTCAAAGTTGTGAGTGACCATTATTTCGAGACCGTACTTACATGCGGTTTTAATGACGACCTCACTTTTCCGAAGCACCTGCGCATCCGCGTCGCGCACGCCCTCTGCCACGTTTGCGAGCGTATTCTTGTGCTTGCCAGTTTGTGTTAGATCAGGTAGGAATGCCTGGATTTCTGCGTTTTTTCGACTTTTATGAAAACTGGCCCGTTTCATTTACTTTCCTCGTTAGCTTGATTATTTCACCCAGAATTTCTACATGTGAAATTATCAAATTAACAAGAACGAATTCTATATTTTGAACGAAGAAAAGATGAATTAATACTGGTACCATTTCACCTATTCTGAAACTAGCATACTTCTTGCTCCTAAAGCACACGTTGCTTGAAAAGCCTGAACTAGATTCTTGTTATTTTAAGTGGCTACTCATTGTGAGCCACTAGTAATAATAAGTTGATCACAATTTGCTTTGTTCTTGTGTTTGCTAATATCAGAAAGGCTGATACCTATACGAGCAAAGTGATCTGTAGTGTTCATAATCAACAAATATACTCATTGTTAGACCAGGACTGAAACATCCATTTTGAACGAAGAAAAGATGAATTAATCGTTAAGGTATGAGGAAACATGCAACGTATCCACAATACTACACCCATACGGTCATACACTTGGTAAGAAACTAAGGAAGTGTATGGAAAAAGAAGGATTTTAGGCCCATCGACATCATCAAGCAAGTTGGCGAAGTAACCAGCCATGCGCCCGCGAACGTGGCGCAGGGAAATAACGACCTTTGTAAATCCACGCATGCAGAAAAGGATGTATGCCATTGACAACATCCTTTACTTATTTTTATTCTTTGCAAGCAAATGCATATTTTCTTGTTACCATTTGACGAGATTTATACGCTCTATCAATCCACATCACTTTACCACAACTTCAATTCGTCTTCGAAAAGTATATGCTAGAACATTATTTCCTCTTGGTTTTTTATTGCGCCAAATCGCAATTCTTCAAGTTTTTTTGCATTATCAGAACAAAAAGTGAATCCAAATGCTCGATAAACCACTCGAAAAGGCTTGAAGAGCTCTTTAGGAAGGTATTTCATCTACATCATGAATTAAGTATGCTAGCGCAACACAGAGATGCTCAAAAAACCCTGTCGGGGATCCTCGAAGCGCCACGCCAAGCCTTGTGTGAGAGGAGCGGTAACGGACAGTTACCAGAATGATAGGCAAAGGTTGTGTAAGTGACGTTTGAGCTAGAGCTTGCTTATGCGAAAAAATCTCCAAAGAGAATAAAGCTAAGATGCCTCATTATTTGTTCAGCCTGACAGTATAATTTGATATAACATAAGTTTTGAGGCACTTTCTTCATTTTCTTGTGAAAAACGCTAGAAACTTTGACAATGTCTAATATCTGGCACATACGATCAGTGGACAAATGAGTATCTCTTGGCATCATTTCCACCTTTACAGATTGGGTTACAGTAAATATAAAGGCGATTTTGTGACGGCACTCAAATCTCTAATTTTTCGTTTTGCCTTCAAAAATTCTCTCACTCTTACTTTCAGTGCTTTCAGATTTTTGTTGGATTCCTACGGATATTAGTAATAATATGAGAAAAGTTTGGAAGTCTAGGCTGTTCAATAACGGAAGTTGGAAATTCGCCAAAGATAATCCAGAAGAATTTTAAAAAATTCGAAAATTGGATTTTCCACGTGTGACATGTATATATCAAAAGGTTACAACCCCCCACTCAATTTGAAGATGAGAAAAAACCCCTGGAGGAAGTTATGAAGGTTTTTTCTTCAAGGTCACAAGACTTATGTTACAACCTAATATTATAGTGTGAGCTTATGGCTGCTCAGCTCAGCACAGCACAGCTCAGCACTGCTTCCGTAAAAACATGGAAATTTTTGTTTTATCGTTTTTTCTAGGCAATCAAGATACGGCATATTGTCTGCACCTTGAGGTTGTCAAAGGTACAGTCAAGTAGATTTCCCGCTAAATATAGTGTGTTTGCACAGATAGTGAAATGCGGTATCTAAAATTTGCACGTAAACAAATAGTTTCGACGCCGGCCAGTTGCGGGCGCAAAATGCCGGCAGTACTGGAGTGGCTACTTCTTCATGCGCAAATTTTCCCGCATTTCGCCTTCTTTGCAAGCACACTATATTAAGCGGAGAATCTACTCGATTGTACCATCAACGTGGCTTCCTTTCGATCGTTTCAACATGTCAACTTTCAATAAGTGCCTCGAATTTGCTGGAGTTGACGCATTAAAAAGATCGGAAGGCAGCCACGTTGATGTTACTTATGGGAACATTTGCGGAGCAAAAAAGGTGTTCGTAGGACTATTTTGGACAGTTCCGAATTTTTGTCGATTTTTCGTGTTTCTGGATTCTCGCAGTTTTTGATTTTAAACTTCGGTTGATCAAAGCTTGTAGAGCTTACTTCGCTTCATCACATGGTCAACCACGGACATTTGTAATGAAAAAGAAACATGAGCTGTTGCGGTTTTTACCTGTTTTAGTGCGAGACTAATGTCCTAACCTAATATTAAAGTAGGTCTCCCTCAGGTTTTCAAAGCCTTCGTCTATTCAGTGATTAAGAGGATCATAAAGTAAGCCTGGCTATACTTCTTACAAGAAGAGGATACTTAGTCGAAAGCACCAATCCAGATGAGACATATGTCATCTTACAGCGCTTGAAACGCTGATTCCAAACCTGCAGTTTCTAGCTGCGGAGCGGTTTTGTAGGCGGAGTTATGAAGGGTGTCCCCCTCTGGGGTTTGAGCGCCCTGCGGCGGTCTCCCCGCATCTTTAAGCACTGTAGAGGAGTATCAGCTGTGGCAACTGACCTAATGGTAAGTAACTTGAATGAAGATCACAGTAAGGACTGTAATACTCATATTACTTTGGTTTTTTTAACACTTCTAACTTCGATTAGTACTAATATCATCAAAAGTTTCATGCTTTAGGGCTTTAAAGCCATTTAGAAGTTCAATTTGGCATGCGAAGGGAGTTAAAACCTTAACACTCTCTTTATCAAGCATGTCACTTACCACTAGGTCAGTTGCCACCAGTTGGTACTCCTCTACATGCTCATAGGTAGGGAGAGACCTGGTGGAGGGCGCCTCAACCCCAGAGGAAACACTCCTCATAACTTCCTCTAAGAAACCGCTCCGCAGCTAGAAGCTGCAGATTCGGAATCAGCGTTTCAAGCGCTCTAAGATGATATTTGTCTCATCTGGATTGGTGCTTTCGACTAAGTATCCTCTCCTTGTTAGAACTATTGTCCAAGTTCAGGTCTCGCTTAATCTCGGCATGTTGTAAATGCTTGTTGTGGCGTTTAGCTGGACACCGGGAATTGTTATCATCCTTTATTCGGTAGCCCTTTTCAGAGTCTGAAATTATAAAAGGACAATACCAATCCCGGTGTCCAGCTTAACAAGCCACAACAAACTTCTTAGAATGTTACAGGGTATAAATGTAGGCAACAGTGACTCGAAAAAGTATATACTTGCAGAACTCCATTATCAGCACCATTCCAGCTCTCCGGTTGATGGAATTCCCATTTGCCCCACGTTTCGAGGAAGCTCCTCCCAAATTCTGTATTTTTTACCTTAATTACCGAATGCGATGGTTATCATTAGAAGCTAGCTGTGTCTACCAAGTAATTTCCGCTTGCGATCTCCCAGTTGAAAACGCGCTCATAAAATAGGATATCAACTCTGTCGTCTATCCATTCTTCAATACAATGATTGGGATTGACGACCCCTGTAAGTGAACATAATTCGACAGTGTGGTTTTCATTTTACAAGAAGATTAAATTTTTTGGAGGAGTCCTTGCAAAATATAATACTTTACTATATATGTTTACTGAGGAAAAAACTAGAACTGAAGGATTTAACTCATTTCTCTTACCTGTGTCAGCATCCAGAACAAGCATCCAGTCAGTCTCGGGAAGATATACGGAAGCGGCGCAATGTTTTTTGTAGAAAAGCTGCAAATATTGCAAAAGCAGAAGTTGATAAAGTGAATACTTGCAAGCGCAAATTGTTGACACCCTTAAGAAGAAACGCAAATATTTAAGAATATTAGATACGATGACTTCATATAAGATCGTTTTTTCGATTCATCATAACACTCGGAACAAAGCTGGGCAAAAGTCTAAAAAATATACAACGCAGCTTTTTTCCCCTTTTCTAACGGTCATGTTTTCAAGCCATTTATTTACGTGGTCGTCATAATTGCCGAAATCTCATAACCATGGTTTTGCCAGACCCAAGTTCGGCAATTCTAAAAATTCAGCCTCAACTTTTGAAAAAAAACAGATGGATAGAGTGACTGTCATGAATCCCTCGATTCATGATTTACCCAGCAACATAGGCCGCCATACATTCTCATGGCGGACGTCTTTGTTTACCCTTATGTTTTGAGATCTTCCTTTATCTTTATATTTTGGGAAAGGCGAGACTACTTAAAAGGGGGAGCCAAGGGAAGTCGGGGGGGGGGGAGGGGGCTGCAAGTTAGATGGGTAAGTCAGCCTCGTCCCTCAGGTGAGGAGCCTCGTAACAAGTCAAGGTAAGGCAAGACAATTTTCTAGGAGTTATTTTATGGGTTTATTTCTAATGTGCTTAGTCAGTTCAATGTGCTTTGTATTGTTAACAAATAATCTCACTTGCGAGGTTTGTGTTAGATCAAGAAATCGTACGAAAACAGCACGAACAGTGACCAAACTGCAACAAAAAAAATCCTTAGGCATCTCCGAGTAGCTTTCCAGTATTCTTCAGGATGATTTTTCCAGAAGTGCTCACTTTTGCAAAGTCGTTTGATAAACGAACGCATCAAACATTAAAAATTCTTCGAAAATTAAGAGCTCTTAATCTGGTCCATTAATCGACACTGATTCTAGAAGCATATGGTTCTTTCTTTTAAGATAACGAATTCTAAAATTACAGCCGAGGGCGCATCCAAAACAACACAATCGGGATGTTTTTCCACAAAAGTTCCTCGGAAGGAAAAAGCATCCATAAAAAGAGGAGAAAAAACTACATCCCACCTGCTTGTTGACGTTTTGTGAGGTTTGACTTGACCAAATATGGACCTTGTTAACAAAGAAGAGTAATTTTGGTAATTTTTCAAAAGCCAGCTGGAGATGACAAATAAATCTATAGCACTGCACTTTGTTTGCTCTATCCAGCAGTTATTAAAGCTCTTAAGTTCAAAAAAATTCTATAAATTGCCAAACTTGGATGTGGTAAAAACATGGGTTTGAATTTCATGCGATTGCGATTGCAAGACTGTGTCGACTAGTTCTTAAAGTGTCTGGCCATTTTCATCCCACTGTTTTTGTCATAAATCGAAAAAACGGTATGAACTTTCGAAGCGGAGCGACCTGATTTATCAATTTTTACACCTCACGCTCCTGAAGTTGATGCATTTTTTTCGATGACCAACTCAAAGTTACCATGAAGCGATGGTAGCGGGTAGCGCTTTGTCATACTGTAAATCGTCTCTTTAGAAGGAAGCAAGGGGAACCTTATTGGTTTCAGGAATCGATAAAAAACTGTTATATGTTTGCAAGCGCAACTCTGAATAATAGCGCCCATAAGAGGCCAACGTCATCCAGCACCTTTAGCTACCAAATTGTTTTGGGTAATTTTGCAGTAAAGGTCGTGAGGGAAGTATGGAAAGCCACAAAAATTCACGTAAATGTTTTTCTAATTGAGACGCGACACCTGGTGACGGTTTAATTTGAGATGAAAAAGTTCTCTCGTTTCCTCACAAATTTTTCAGTCTTTCTTGAAGAAATCTATTCTCTAAAACTCAATTGTTGGCAATCGCCGCGCATCCCTCGCCTTCACAGCTAATCTTCACTTTGGATTTACTTCCACTTCGAATTTTGTTATTTTAAATAACAAACTTTCGATTGCCCTAATTGCAATGCCCTTAACTTCAAATGTAGCAGTGCAGTTTTGCTAAAGATTTGTGTTTCATGCACAGTGTGGAATGCTATTTACACGTTGACGACAACGTGACCCACATGGTGGGTCATGCAATGACTGCCACGTGGGACAATGTGACCCACATGGTGGGTCACGGCATAAATTCTGTTGAAATGATTACAATTATCGGGTACAATCGTTTCATGAGGTCTGTTGAGCTCTGACCTTAGAGAATACTTTAAAGTTCCTTGATTGCTTTTCAGAATCTGTGGAGGTATAGTATAGATGACGATCTGCATGATTTTAGCTAGAAATTTTCGATTTTTTTCCGTGTAAGGCATTGTCCCACAAGGCAGACAACTAAAAATGCTCGTTGTCGTCAACGTGTTAATAGTTTTACATGGTACTACTTCTGCTGTGATATTTGCTTCAAAACACGTTGAAATTTACGTGCTATATATTAGTGGGCGTCCCATAATTTTTTTACCGTTTCCATTCTAAATATCAGCATTTCTCAAGATGTGGGGCATTTTCAGAGGTTACAAGCACATTGTCGTACATCTGCTTGTAAGAGCTACATGATCACGTGCTTGGGAGAAGCTCAGAACGTCTAGTGGCGGAGTTTGTCATTTTGCTCCATTCATTTTTTCTTTATTTCTTTCTTCTTTCTTTCTGGAAAAATATGGAAAATATACATTTATTAGGTTGTCCGGAAATCAATGTCCGTTCTGAATTTCAACCGCAATAAGTCATACACTTCCCAATTCTGGATAGGTTGCAAGGTACCATTCGATAGAGCAAAGCAAGCTCTACAGGATGGCTATTTTGTTTTTGCAAAAGCTCTCAATACCCTTGAGTTTCGAGCCAAAAAGTAAAATGATTCAGCTGCACGAAAAATTGAGAAAAATCGTAACCCAGTTCATAAAAATCCTACGAAAATTCTAACTTGCTCACGTAAACGCTATCCACATAAGACATCTATATATGCCGTTCCCATCTTTCTTCACCTTTTGGAAATCAAGAAAAGCGGAATCATCGTGCATTTCCGAAAGTGATGCTGTGCAGTCCGCACATGCGTAGTTGTAATCTACAAGCCTGTAGAAGTGCAAATTAAATTTTCGGCTTTCTACAAGCTTTAGTTCTCGAGAAATTTAGATTTTGGCTTGTACCACCTGACTAGGGAGAGCCATATTCGATATTTTTCGAGAACCAAGGCTTGTACAAAGCTAAAAATTCAAGTTTATACTTCTACAGGCTTGTAGAATACAACTATGGCGGACTGCACAGCATCACTTTTGGAAATGCCCGAAAATTTCCTTTTTCTTGATTTCCAAAGGGTGAAAAAAGATGGAAACAGCGTATACAGATGTCTTATGTGGATAACGTTTACATGAGCAAGTTAGAATTTCTGTAGGATTTTTATGAACTGAGTTACGATTTTTCTCAATTTTTCGTGCAGCTGAATCATTTTAGTTTTTGGCTCGAAACTGAAGATTATTGAGAGCTGCTGCAAAAACAAGAATGCCATTTTGTAGAGCTTGCTTTGCTCTATCGAAAGGTACCTTGCAATCAAATCAAAAATGAGTTCAAAATGAACATCAATTTCCGGACAACCTAATAAATGTTTGGTGTGTCAAGTGCTAGAATAAACGAGGAGTTTTTAGGGGCGATTTTTTTACAAAACTTTATGTGGAATACGATTTGCACGGATCCTTGACAGCCATCTTGTAGAGCTTGCTTTGCCTTGTCAAATGATTACTGTATTCACTTCAACTGAAGAAAAGCTACAAAAAGACGATGGTTGTAGCAAAAACGGTAAAAAATTATGGGACACTTCAATATTTGTCAGTTACTCCAATGTTGTAGGTATCTTTACATATCACGTGTGATAGTATATATAATTTTTGCCGAATAACTGTCTGCGTTCTTCATTTCCAATTAAATTTTAGATACCCTGTGTCAGTGATACCCAGGATTGCTGTTCGAGGAGGAGAAGCGGGGGGGGGGGCAAACACTGTTTCAAATGGAGGTGCGCGGCGCGGACCACGCACTCTGAAATTTGGGATGCATCTAATGCTGCACATATCTTTGGATTTTCAGGAAAAGAGGTAGCTGCATGGAATGATCGAGCACTGAAGCACGATTTATGAGTGGTTTGAACCCTCATTCGATATGTGTGATAGTTGCTGAACCACTGAGTGAAAAGGACTAAAAAGATTTTGAATCTTCTGAACTCAAGTGGATAAAGAAAAGGTAGTGCTTGTATTTAGTACAGAAAGAGGTATCCAACTAGCTTTTGAAACAAAGTCAATCATATTTGAGAATAACCGTTACACTTGGGTGGCTCAACCTCAGAATTCGCTGAAACTTGTCCACAGAGGCTATTTGACATATTAATCAAGAACATTTTACTCAGTATGTTGGCTAGAGTCTCATTGTTAGCCCAAGATAGTAAACGATAATGCAGAGGTCTATAAAGAATTCAGAGGGGAAAGTCTTATCCGGCGGTCGTGTGCTACACTTTTTGCCGACCTTTGTGAGCAATTTCAGGGTAGGATTCAGAGCAGAGACATTGTCTATTCATAGCCGCTGGTGTCCAGCACAAGTTACAGAGCCGTAGCAGGAGGCAGAAATACGTATACGCTGCATGCTAGCTTTGCTTTTTGACATTTTCTTCGCACAGAAAGGAAATTATTACGTGGAAAGAAAAAAATTAAAAAACATAAAACTGGCCCACATTATGGACAAAGCGAACGGTACGTATTCAAATTTCGCGGACTCCTGCGCCTCTAGGCTGCCACCGTGGAACGCAGCTGACTATGTGAAGTTGGTAGGTTTAGGTGCTGCATATGAGGCGGCACGCGGCGTTATAAGGTCGTCTTCTTGAATTCCACAATTATATGGGTATATGTTGTATAAGTTATGTCATACTCCAAGAATATTGAGTTAAAGTCCTAGCTCGTACTTCGTTATGGGCTGTGCTGCCGGTATACGTATGGAGATACAATGTCAAAACAAAAAACGATTTTAACGTAGTACGGCAATGCGAAAAACGTGTGCGTAGTCGCAAATTTATTATACCGATGTGTAGCAACATAGGTAGGTTTGAAAAAGATCGATATCAAAATCTTGTTTTTTGTCTGTACTTTTCAAGAAAACCCAGCAGTCCTTCTCAGGCGACAAAATTCAAAAACTTCAGATTCGTTCGCAACGAATGCAGCTTATTTGACATGCTGATCACATTATAGTACTCATTCCACAAATGAGGTCTTTGTTAACTAACGAGCAAAAGTGAATGGTTTTCTACCCCACACAAAGTCTCTTTCCTAAACTATTTAGACCGCTGCACATACCTTGAAGAGGAATAAGCATGCTTTTCAAGAGATTTCTCTAAAACGAACGTATTGTTGCCTGTCTGCCATTTGGGAATAGACAAATGACTGCATTTTTTTTCTTTTCGTCCTAAACCGAAAGAATGAAATAGTCTTGAAAGCAGAAGGAGGGAAACATCTCCTATTGAATAGCAGGCCCACAACCCTTTGAATCATGATCATAATAGCGACAGAAAATTATCTTAAGCAGGAGGAAGAGTGCTAAATTCCGTTAAAATTGTTCGACACTTGTTTGACAGACATATCATCTGCGTGATTAGATGCACTTTTTGTCACCTGAATAGATCTTGTTGTTTTCTGACCTGTTCGTTTTTGGAGCACTTTTCTTTTACGCGTGGATCTTTATCCAAATCTACCATGAAGACGGTGTAATTGACAGTTTTCAGATAACACTGGAGCGATTGCTGAGCAACTCGATAATGACTGAAAGTACTTATTTGAATTTGAGGGTCTAATTTTTATAAGGGAATGTACGACTAGAAGATTGCTTTGCTGCTAGCATCCGGATAATTTCTAAACTATTCTACTTAAAGATGCGAAAATGGTCGGAAGTCATGTCACCTCCTCGTGGTGCTCGACAAGCAGAAAACATTGGCTGAGTTGGACATCCAAAAGCTAATGCATCAGATGATCTAAATACCGGAGAGCACGACGGCTGCACATCTATTTGCGCGTTACATTTAACGCTGACGCACATGCATCATAGCATCGCAGCGATAAGCGTTATAGCGCTCATCTCCCTAGTTGCTGGTCGAAGCTTACCAGCTTTTCACTATGTCGATACTTTCGGCTCCGGAGTTCGCTCCATCGATGAGGCTCATTCCCCTGCGACTGCATTAGGCAAATCATCCAACCCAAAACGCTGCTAGGATGTCTTCCAAGAGCGGTGCATTTCGCTTTCCCCACACAGCACGAAGAATGACAGGCAATTATGGGTTACTACTGAACAAAGCAAGCTAGGTGGAACAAGGTACAAAACAGATTGAAGGCAGTGTCCGGGCAAAAAGTCTATTTTGAGATTTTGTGCTTACTGGGGCCTATTCGCTATGCTGAATCCAAAAATCCATATTGGAAAGCGCAAAAACGGCAAAATAGGGCTCTAACGCAGGAGGGAAATCGAAAATGGGCGGGGTCCTCCCCACTGTGAATTTCGCAGTCCCAGCTTCTAGAGCGATCTTCCCAATTCCTCTAGCGCCCTGAGATCTCCACCGGCCAGGTGCGAATGCATGACTTGAAATCGGAACCGAGAAGATCGCTCTGGAAGCTGGCAGCGTGAATTCACAGTGGGGAGAACCCCGCCCAACTGCTGATTTCCCTCCTGTGTTAGAGCCGTTTATCGCCCTTTTCGCGCTCTCCAATATGCATTTTCGGATTCAGCGTAGCGAATAGGCCCGGGTAAGCAAAAAAATCTCAAAATCGAGTTTTTGCGCGGGCAAAAACTGGATCGGCAAAATCCAACAACTCAGGATTTTAACGCAGTAGGTTCCTCATCGCCCAAGTATGGAAACAATGCAATTGCGGTTGCACAGCATGCTTTCCCTGCCGAGAAAATCGCTCTCAAACTTACACGCGCAGGCCAATCTTACACATCTGGACGAGTTGGCAATTTCCTTCTCACCACTGGGGCTGCCTGCCGCAACGCTATAACCATTGGGTCCTGCAATGATTTAGCGTCATCGGCCTTGCTCCACTCGTCCAACTTGATAGGAAAGGGCATCGAAAAACGCATATTTTTGCCGTTTTCAAGTTCTCCAAAGTGGATTTTCGGGATTAGCGTATTGAATAACCCCAGGTAAATGAATATTTGACTCGGTGATTTGCCGAGCCTTTGTCTTTAACGATCACTGCCAGCTTCAACTGGCACCACTCATTCACCGACGTGACACAGGACGGCGATCAAAATGGAAGAGCAGCAGAGTGACAAAGCAACAGTATCGTGCATTCTGTACCCTGACTGCACTGAGCCGTAAAAGATGTTTTTGAAGACTTTGCGTACTATGATGAAGCTTCGATGCCGCGATTGAATACACTTTGTGCCATTTCGGATTTGGCCAATGGCCAGCATCAGCAAAACCATGGTCTCGCGTTACTTTACAGTTTGCTCTAGGCATGTCCTTTCATCCTCTCCGCGGTGCTCTAACGTTTAGGCCTTGTCCTGATTAAGACATATATTTGCGCGAAGCAATCTCAACGGACGCGCTGGTCACGTACAAATCCCGATCGCGGCGGAGGCCGAATGCGGACAAAAAAACGAGGACGGTGAGCACCTTCCTGAAAGCGTCGCAGCAGGAAATCTTGCCAACGGATACCTGCTCTAGAAAGCGCAAGTTGTGCGGTCGAATGAGCTTGGAGACCGGGACGAAATAGACTTACAAGTGCTACAGCAAGCCTGCTCTTTGCAATAGGCACTAAAGTCAGGCGCCCAATGATCGCCGATAAAAGCGGAGCTATACAGGCTAATCCCTGTTTTGAGAATATTGCTTAATAAGCAGTTTTAAAAATTGCACCCGGTTGCAAACAACTGACTTTAGCACAGGTAACGGTATGGCGCCATATTTTATACTCTTGTTGTTATAAAATGTAACCTCTTAGCTTGTAGCCACATAGCTCTTTATATTTTGATGCTCTCTTTGATTTTGCAAGTATGAAGATAAGCAAATGGGTCACGTAGAAAACTTGCGATAACTTACGTTTGCATGGAACTTCCAATGTATGCAACAAATATTGATACTTTGCCAAATAATGGAGGACATGACCCCATGTTCTTCCTCGATGGATACGGTGTGCGAGTTCGAGTAAATCTATAAGGTACCATTTGATTCAACTGGATTGGCTTCGGGAATGCGGGACTTCGTGACCTTAATAAGGTTAGGTGATGGTCAGAAAACACTCGCGCGAGAGAGACGCAGGTGCGTCGCGAACGCGAGCGGCCTCAATTAGTTACAAAGCCCCGCCTTCCTGAAGCCAAGCCACTTGAATCAAAGGCTATATCTATAGGCTCATAGAAACGATGATATGGTTGCTACTTACACCGAGTTCGACGGCCTTCGTTCAGACTGGTCTAGCTCTCGCTGAGTCAAACTGTCCTGCAATGAAAAAGGACATAATTTACTGTCACAGTCTACGACTTGGAGCGTCACATAGCATTTGCAAGATTATTGCAGAAAATGGGTTGATTGCGCTTTTGTTATTTTCATAGCTACATAACTGAAAGATTTCCCCTTTCCTACAAGCTGCTCTAATCCAAAAAGCCTATTGTTTGACACTCTAGTCTACCTGCACATCATTTGATTTCTATTGCGCATCACCCCTAATTGTTCCCATATGCACATCAATGTGGCTGCCTTTCGATCGTTCTAACATGTCGAGTTCGAACAAGCGCCTCGAATACGCTGGAGTTGACGTGTTAAAGCGATCGAAAGGCGGCGAGTCAATGACACCTAAACAACTCTGGGGGATGCACCATATGTTTTTGACTTCATTATCTTTTCCTTACAGCTACATTCAAAGCCACGCCTACAAGTGACAAAGTAGTCTGCAAATCGCTGAAAAGCGACACGACTTTCAACACGACATGCTCAAACTTGATCTTCTCGAGGCATTCAAAAATCAAGTTTATCTTCAACACTATTGAGAACTGCTCCGTTTGCATGGCACAAATAATAATATGGCGCCAGTGTGTGTTTTTATACTTATGTTGTATAGTGTAGTTACGTAAGGATAAAGTTATATGTATAAAAGTATTTAACTCATATAAGTGAAGGTTTTTCTTCTTGAACTATGGTTCCTTTCGCCATCCCAGCGCCACCATTTGAGTGGCAAAATTTCAGTTCGCATAAGTTCTCTTTATTGCTTGAATCTGCTCTACACTCAATTTAATCTGTGCTGTTATAACGTAGTTTTAAAACTTCCTCTTTCCTTCGCAAAATTTAGCATTAAAAATTCAAGTCTCAGGCAGGATGGCGCGCTTCAACGAACATTGCAATCAGCTGGGATAAAAGCGTAGTTTTGAAGTTTCGTGTGTTTTGAGAAAAAGGGATTTTAGGGGTGCGTTCTTGTGCCACCCCCTAACTACGGCATAATCCTTTGTAACCAAAAAGCCAGAACTTACCATGTTGACTGTTTGTAAAAGAACGGTTCCCGATGTGAGTCGAGTCACAAGAAAGGCGATACCGGCGATGCAGGAAAAGAACAGTAGGATATATGTCCACCAAGAGCGTAAAGACTTATTGCTTGTCCACATTGAACCTAAAAAATTTCAGGTAAGTTTTTATGACTGAGTCATTTATCTGCATGCTGATCACGAAATACTGAGGTATTTTTTTAGCAGGTCAAAGAACCTTACTATATAAAGTCTCAGCGAATTTTGAGGTTCTGACTTGATCATTGACGGCTGTCTTTAGCAGCCTTGCGTACAGGGACTCGTTCGATTTTGTGAGGGCATCAAATCTCGACATGCCACTAAATTTCATTTCTTTCTTAATGAGCCGAATAAGTCAACCTATGATGATAGTACGTACATGATTTCTTATCATGCGGTCTACGGGGCTAACGGCTTCATTTTGGCTTATCTTTATCTTTATCTTTACACTCAAGGTGTACATTTAAAGTATGAAAACTGTTAGCATGGGGCCAGTCGTCCTAGACATTCAAAGAAAAACAAAAAAAGCTCATACTTTGATGAGTTGAGCAAAAGAAAGTACGGGAAATGTACCCACAACAACGACAAAAGATGCATTCAAATGCGAGTAAATCATACGACTATGAATTGGAATGCCAGGTGAATAGCAGTGGGGACTGCTATCGCTCAGGGATAATCGGAGCGGTTCAAGCGAGGGTATTGGTTAAGCTAGGTATCCACCAACCTAACTCCCCAAGCCTTGAACAGACCTGACAAATTTCAAGTAGAAATGTCCTTGATAAAAAACATTCTCAACCCAAAAAAATCAATATAGTAGGACGAAGTGACCCCTCCATAAATAAGCGGTTAGTAACAAAAGAAACGCAACACAATAGCAAAGCACTGCCATAATCTACCACGAGTAAGAGAAACTGCTATATCCGTCCGACACTAAAAAGCCAAAGCATCGAGCGAGTCCACAATAGCAGAAAAACATAGCCACGGCCATTAGAAAACGATAAGAACGAAACTGAAAAACACACTAGATTAATGAAAACTTCAATTAAAAAGGTGGAAGATGACTGTCAACTCTGGTTAACTTATCCTCGCACATTGGATGAATCAACTATGTCCTTAGGTAGAAGCTGAAACCAACGAGCATATCTATAAAATATGTTGTTGTACATTTTCTCCCTATTATGTTTCATGATCTTGGAATAATGTAAGTTGAAACCTCCCCTTTGACCAGCTGGCAATATCCAGTACTTACTAGCTTTTAGTCTGATCTCCCCCTGAGCACTTGGAAACAGAAAACAAGATCATATTACGGCGATAAGAAAGACTCTGGAGAGTAAGCTTTTTTAACCGTATACTATAAGCAGGTGGGACACTACGGGGAGAAATGCGTTTATACAAAAGACGTGTAAAGGTTTTTTGTACCTTCGCAAGCTTACAAATGTCCTTCCTTCTAGTAGAATTCCACAATTGGGAACAATATTCCAGGTGTGGACGAACAAGAGTCTTATAACGGTCCAGGTGGCTAACGGCTTCATTTTGGCTTATAACTCCAAAAATTAAACCTTACCTAGTTTTCGAAAAATGCCCGGAATTTTTCTGGTTCGTGTTCAAAATTCAAACACTTTTTGCACAAATGTATCATTCAGCTCTACACATTGCCAAAGTTTGAGTGCTCACATCCAAAGAGAGTGTTATGAAAGAAGTTGCAAAACTTACTGTTAGTTGCCAGCCCAATATGTACCAAATCGGCATATAATCATTCTCCTTTCATAAAAAAGCTGCATTCTCTAAGTACCATTACTTTCACTCATGCTTTTCTTGTAGATATTTATGTTCTATGTTGTTCTTCCTGATCTTCCTTACCTGTAGAACGACCACGCGATTCTTGAGGCGTACAGTAGCATCGAGAACTACGTCTGGCCAATCATTAATGGAGGTTTTTAGCGTCAAAGAAAGATAGTTTCATAAGCCTTTCCGCCGTTTTTGTCCGATTTAAAGGGAGACATGAGCAAGAAATTCGTCTTTTTATCACCTTCTTATACTGGCACGTGGGTGTTAGACCTTAACAACCTTTGCTTGCTACCGCCAGAAAGCCAGCTTATTCCGCCCTGTGATATCTAATCTAATATATAAAGAATCGTAAGCGCAATTCAAAAATGTGCACATAGCGGGAAACTGCGGCGCGGTCTTGAAGCGAACGCTCTTGCCAATAGCACCTTTAGATTGCTGGTTCACTAGTAGCAGAAAAACATAGCCACGACCATTAGAAAACGATAAGAACGAAACTGAAAAACACACTAGATTAATGAAAACTTCAATTAAAAAGGTGGAAGATGACTGTCAACTCTGGTTAACTTATCCCTAAAGGATCGCACATTGGATGAACCAACTATGTCCTTAGGTAGAAGCTGAAACCAACGAGCATATCTATAAAATATGTTGTTGTACATTTTCTCCCTATTATGTTTCATGATCTTGGCATAATGTAAGTTGAAACCTCCCCTTTGACCAGCTGGCAATATCCAGTACTTACTAGCTTTTAGTCTGATCTCCCCGAGCACTTGGAAACAGAAAACAAGATCATATTACGGCGATAAGAAAGACTCTGGAGAGTAAGCTTTTTTAACCGTATACTATAAGCAGGTGGGACACTACGGGGAGAAATGCGTTTATACAAAAGACGTGTAAAGGTTTTTTGTACCTTCGCAAGCTTACAAATGTCCTTCCTTCTAGTAGAATTCCACAATTGGGAACAATATTCCAGGTGTGGACGAACAAGAGTCTTATAACGGTCCAGGTGGCTAACGGCTTCATTTTGGCTTATAACTCCAAAAATTAAACCTCACCTAGTTTTCGAAAAATGCCCGGAATTTTTCTGGTTCGTGTTCAAAATTCAAACACTTTTTGCACAAATGTATCATTCAGCTCTACACATTGCCAAAGTTTGAGTTCTCACATCCAAAGAGAGTGTTATGAAAGAAGTTGCAAAACTTACTGTTAGTTGCCAGCCCAATATGTACCAAATCGGCATATAATCATTCTCCTTTCATAAAAAAGCTGCATTCTCTAAGTCCCATTACTTTCACTCATGCTTTTCTTGTAGATATTTATGTTCTATGTTGTTCTTCCTGATCTTCCTTACCTGTAGAACGACCACGCGATTCTTGAGGCGTACAGTAGCATCGAGAACTACGTCTGGCCAATCATTAATGGAGGTTTTTAGCGTCAAAGAAAGATAGTTTCATAAGCCTTTCCGCCGTTTTTGTCCGATTTAAAGGGAGACATGAGCAAGAAATTCGTCTTTTTATCACCTTCTTATACTGGCACGTGGGTGTTAGACCTTAACAACCTTTGCTTGCTACCGCCAGAAAGCCAGCTTATTCCGCCCTGTGATATAAAACATTTTTGAGGTTTCACGCTTTTTTTTGAAGTTTCACGCTTAATGGTCCGCAAGCCGTCCTCCTCCTCCCACTAACGTAACTAATTAAAAAAGCTCAACACATTCCTGATAGAATATTTGTTAGATAGGGGCGAAAGATATGAAATCGGATCTCGATCATACCTTACCCACAGCATATCGTTGTCAAACCTTTAATACTTCAAATACATGTTTTACTCTTGTGGTATCAAAAATTTTACTCTTTACGATTTAATACTTTCGTAACCAAACTCTATTGCAGACAAGAGGGATTCCGTTCATTGAACAAAATGCTAGCGCTGTCGCTAGTATTTGCCAAACATTTAGCTGATGTTAGCTCCCTGACCATCCAAACTTGCAAACACTGTCTGGCATGACGGAATGTCCGCTTGGCAAAAAATTGTGCTACATTATTCTAGTATTTTTCAAATCTGCCTCCAAACATTGACTGCAGATTTTCGTGCACAAAAAGTGGATGCGTTGCAAACGTAAGTAGTTAGTCCTACGTTTCCATGTCAGATGTTTCGATATCCGCTATCAGCTGATTACAGTAGCACAGTATGCAAAAGTAGATCCACGCACCATGCTCTATTAGGTCGGTTATAGATAAGTTCGGTCGCTTTTGCGGCTCTTACGAATGCTACGGACAGAAACCATCCGCAGAGAAATAAGAAGCCACAATCTCGTAGAGCGCAAATATGAGCAACTTGGTTTTTATGATAAAAGATTTACAAAGTGGCAGATCACAATTTTCATTGTTATTCACTGATTAAGGAGATCTCCTCTGTATCCAAATACCAAACTGCTGTTCTCTACATCTATTACAGCGTGAAAACGAAGCGTGGGAAGTCAAAGAACTGAGCTTTCGGAAATTTAGCAATGTTGAGACATAACTGTCCTTACTGATGATAGAAAATCCTGAATCTCTATATATAAAACTCAAAAATTCTCAGTTTGGAGGGGACGTGCGTTATAGAAACGAGCGCCACTCGTCCAATTGAAAACTTTGCACGCACATGTTTTCGACCCTTGCGCAGATTATAGGCTACTTTTTGTGGCGAATCGTCGGGTTCCTCCATCGATTTATCGATTTATTTTCCGTTATTCTGAGGACTTGAAGGATTACCATGTTTAACTAAGCAGTTCTCATAATGTAAGGGAGGGTGAAGGGTGGTGAAGCTCATTTCCACTCAGGATCACGAGGATGCGGTGGAAGCAGATGCCGCAAGGTAAGTCATCCGTAAGGGATCATTCATACCGCGCACAAAGGCGGACGAAGCCGCACAAAGGCGGACGAAGGCGGACGAAGCCGCACAAAGACGGACGAAGGCGTACGAAGGCGCACAAAGCCGGACGAAGCCGGACGAAGCCGCACAAAGGCGGACGAAGGCGCACGAAGGCGCGTCTTGTCTCGTCTCTTTCTCTCGACACACACACGCCTCATCTCGTTTCTCTCGACAAACACACACTCACACATGCCTTTGTGCGCGGTCTGAACGTTCCCTAACATTGAAAAAGGGGGAGGGGTTGCACAGTGCAGAAATCTTGCTGGAAACGGTAGCATCTACTTCATCTCCTATAACAATAGCCCGGGCTGGACCGGGGAAGCCAACTAGTATCTAATATGTGATAGAGAAAGCTTCAAGGTACTTTCCTACAAAGAATCATGAATAGGACGCGACAAGAA